GTCGGCCAGGAGACTTGGCATGGAGGGAAGCGGGGAGGAGGACGAGGAGGTCGAGGAGGTCGAAGAGGAGGAGGAGGTCGAGGAGGTCGAGGAGGAGGAGGAGGAGGAGGAGGTCGAGGAGGAGGAGGAGGTCGAAGAGGAGGAGGAGGTCGAGGAGGTCGAAGAGAAGGAGGAGGTCGAGGAGGAGGAGGAGGAGGAGGAGGAGGCGGGGGAGGTGGAGGGGGGGTGGCCAGTGGAGTTTGGCGACGCGCACCCTTAGAACGCCCGCTTGGGCGTCTTGGGACTCTCTCGGAAGCCCATGGGGCTCACCCTGGGCCCTCGTGCGGGACACCTCGGCTATCTTGGACGCTATCTTGGAGGCGTCCTCGGAATGTCGTGGAATGGTGTCGGGGGGCCAAGGATTTCCACTTGTCTTGACGGCGCGCACAAGCGGGTAGGGGGGGAAGGCTTCTTAGAAGGAGGCTGTTTCTTAGAAGGCGCCGACCCTACATCTGCAGACAAGGCCCGCCTCTTCTAAGAAGCAGGGGTGCTTCTAAGAAGCCCTTCCCCCTCCCCCATTACCCCCGTCTGTGCGTGGCTAGGGAGTGGAGTGGGCGGGCGCTGGGACTTGGATGTTCCTTCTGGGGACCTCCCTGGAGCCACTCGCTCAACTCATGCATCGATGCTACGTCGAAGGACCGTCGACTTCAGTCGAATTGGCGTCGAGTTTGAGTCGATCCAACAGATCCGATCGACGGGCCCTGCGAAAGTCTCCCACACGAGCATCCAACGGGATTGCCAAAGAGCTACACTCGGGACGCACAGCTGGCCCTGGAGAGAACACCAGGCTCCAAGGCCCGCTTCCCAGCACTTCTGGGCCCCCGCTCCTCCGTGCCGAGCGGCCGACCATGCAGGCCCGGTAGCTGCCCGCCGGTGGCAGAGGCGGGCTGCGCGCGGGCAGAGCCTCCAGGGGCGGCCCCTTCCCGCATCAGCAGGCCCCCCGGGCGGCTCGGAGCCGTCTGCACACCCCCGCGCCGCCTGGAGGTGCCACCAGGGTTAGGTCGGGCCTGTCCTACAGGGGGATTTTGGACGAAAAATGTTTATATATACGCTAAAAAATAAAATAACATAAAAAAAAACAAAAAAATGCCCCTAAATATTCGAAAATAATCAAAAATGCAACAAATCGTCCCCCGACTATTTCGTAACTATTTTTGAATATTCCCCTGCAGAGGGACAGGCCCGACTTAACACCTTGGGGGAGGGGGGTCCATGTTGACACCGCCTCAGGCTACGCAGGCCAACGGCTGGTCGCGGGGTCGCAAAAACGGTGGGGCAGGAGCAGAGGGCATCCCTGCCAGGGTGCATCCGGGGGCCGGATCCTACACTCGGCTGGCCAGGCCGAGCGGCAAGAGTCTCTCCCCAAGAAGGGCTGCTACCCGCCTTGGTTACAGAGACGGCCAAAGCCCTCTGTGGCACAGGTGCCGGATCAGAAGAAAGTCACCCCGGACGGCCCCTGGAAGAAGGAAGTGTCAGCATCCGGCCGGGCACCTCCCCTGAGCCCGCTTCGGGGTGACACCCCCCCTTCTCCCCGAACCTCCGAGCTGGGGCAGACCAGGACATGCCGGGGCGACCTCTCGGGGCTGCCTGTGGGACCCCGAGGTACGTGCCAATTGCGGGTTCGTTTGCTGCCCTCGAGGCACGCAATGATTGTCGCGCACGCTCGGGCCTTGGGGCGGAGCATCGCCCAACCATCTCAGGAAGGACCTGTGGGCGGCTGGGCTTCCCCCCGACGGCACCAGCGCACCACGCCTGCGGGTAGGTTGGCGCTGCGTCGACGCGACGGCGACCCCAGCGCGAGCGCTCAAGGTCCACCCCCGCTGGGTGCCTGGGGGCCACCCAGCGGAGCACCGCTTCTGGTGAAAACGGCCAGGGACCAGGCCCCACGGGCGCAGGCCGGCGAGCACTGCGGCCGCAGCGCCCCCCCCCGCGAGCCGACGGAGGGCAGCTCGCCGGGCGGCTCGGCAGGGCGGGGGGGGGGTCCTGTCAGAGCCTCAGGCCCTCGGCGGCCCTCGGCGGCCCACGGCGGCCTCCCCAGCGCTCTTCTGCGGCCTGCGGCGCCCCCCCCCCCCCAGCGGTCTTCTGCGCGGGAGCTGGGCTAGGGGGCCACATGCGAACCCTACCCCTGCCCCCTCAGAAATCGTGGGGGGTAGGGGTAGGGTTCGCATGTGGCCCCCTATGGGCGGCCATAGGTCCTGGGAACGGGGTGCGCGGCCGAGCGCCCACGTGCGCTGCGGGAGGCGGAGGGGGCGAGCAGCGCACGCAGCTCGCGGACGGCAGCGGGCGGCCGCGGGCGGCCGGCAGCCGGCAGCGGCGCCCGCACGCCGCGGCGCGAGCGGCTGCCAGTGTGATGCAGCAGAACGCGGGCACGGGGGCAATGGGAACCGAACGTTTGTACAGCTCCGCCTCCGTCCTCCTGCTCCCCCCCCCTCCTCATCTGAACGTGTTCCTGCCTTCTGGGGGGAGGCAGGGAGGAGAGCCAGGTGGATCTGTCATCGCCGGCCTCCTCCGAGGCAAGGTGTAGCCGGGCAAGCATCGGAGGCTCGTCGGCATGGCAACAGAAGGGGACTCTCGTCGCTTAACAGCATGGATGGCCGACGGAGTGGGCACATCGGGAATCAGAGCGAAGAAAATGAGAGACGCGACGACGACGACGACGACGACGACGACCACAAACGAGTACTTATTTTCACCATGGGGAGCTCCCTATTAGAAGACGAGGGCCCCGTGGGCTTGCCTTGCGGACGGGAGCCTGGCTCCGGACGGAAACCACCATACACCGTCTTTGTTAATTGTCAGACACCTTCACATATAGGAGCATAAACATGCAAACATATCAAGCGAGACCCGTAGTGAAAGAGAATCGCGCATCATCTGCGAAAGTTTTGCACATGTTCAGGCTTCGGAACATAAGACCTGCCCAGGACGTCTCAAGCGAGAGACCAACGTTGACAAGAAGCTGTCACCCACCTGATCATCAGCGAAGGCCACAATTTCGAAACCACTGGTGCTCCATCGGTGTGACTGTGGGATGTGTTTACGACAAATGTGCACAGCGTTCAAGCGAGAATCACATTGTAAACGACAACTGCCCTCCATCCGTGTGGTAGTTAAGAATTTCAGACTCCAGGAGCATAACTTGAGATGAAGACTCCATTGAAACGCCCAGCACTCCTTACCGAAGCGCCTGGTTGTGCGACGGTGAGGTATTTACAAGGAAAAGGGATCGAGAAGACGACGGCGACGACGACAAGCAGGAAAACGAAGATGAAGCGGAGAATGGATCGCCTCGCCCAGCGCTAAAGAGAGGAGGAAGAAGAGGTGGAGGAGGAGGAGAAGAAGGCAGAGGCAGAGGTGAAGGACGAGAACGAAATGAGGAAAGAGTACGGAGGGACAAGGAGGAGGCGGTGGGGGGGAGGATGAGAGGGGAGGAGACAGAAGGGAGGAAGGAAAGGGGAGGAAGAAGCGAGGATAAGGAGACTGAGGGAAGAGGAGGGCGGAGGCTGAGGAGGGATGGGAAGGAAAGGACTTGACGTAATATGGTGGTTGGGATTCTTGACCCCCGTTGGTGAGCCCGATGCCCTAGTGGCACAACCTTGCTCCCCATTATGTAAAGACGCTCACGCTACCGTAAGCCCGAAACCTCTTCAACCGTTGTATGTTTACGACGCCAGTCACGCACTCCCTCCACCATCCGCACTCTGTTTATCGTCGATCATCCCTTCTCCCCTCCCGCCTCCAATCCCACATGTTCCACCTTCCTCCTCCATCCCTGTTCTTTTTCCTCCTTTCGCCGCCACCACCACCACCACCACCATCTGCAGCGATGATGAACATCACCACCACGTCATCATCATTTGCTCTCAACCTGCCACTTGTTTGCATGGCCCTATATGTTTGCGCACTGCCACAGCAACCGCCACAGCCCCAGCAGTGACAACCAAACAACGACAGCGGCAGCAGAGGCAGCAAGCAACAGCAACGGCACCGACAACAGCAAAAGCACCGCAGGCAACGGCGACGACAACAGTAGCAGCAACAACAAAGACGACAACACTGACGGCGACAATCCGCCCCCGGGCGCGTTCTGACCAGGACTTCGAGGCGGATCCAGCCGTGGACGTGCGGGTGCTCTCAGCACCCCTGCTTGTTGTTGAAAAACTGACCAAATCGTCGGTCATCAACCCGAAATCGACTACGACGACGACGGCCACGGCAGCGGCGGCGACAACGACGTGAACAAGACAACGCAACCAAAAGAGGAGCCTGGCGGCGCCGCAGCTTGCCCTCGCACACAGCCTCGCGGTGCGCCTGCCCCAAGGAGGAAGAGGAGAAGGAGGAGACTGGAGGACAAGAGTAGATCCAAGATGCATCAACGATGCTGGAACACACCCACCCGTCCCAAGTCCTGCCCTGATCAATCCCTACCGGATTTGTTCTTCAGTGCGGGAAGTGCCCCCGTGAAAGACAAGCGCCCAGTGGTCTGTCAGGCGAAAGACCGGTTTGGAAACGGTGCGATCATCAATGGTTCTGGCTATGACGACGGCGACATGGGATAATGATAAAAAATAACATGTCAGTCGAAAACCCCGCTTTGAACAAAAAGGGGTAGATTGGAAACGTATGGCCATACAACCTAACAAATTCTCAAGCGAGAACCCCGATTTGAAGAGGATCTGCCCTCCATCCGTATAGCTGGTTCACAGCTTTGAGTTTTTAGCCATGATGTTTACAAAAGTTCCTCAGATTAGAAAACAAATCGAATAGAATCCACTCTCCATCCACGCAACAGTTGACAACTTCACAACACATGTGTGCAGCGCTGGGGCAAAAGCCACATTTGGGAAACGACCTGCGCTGCACCCGCGAAGCTTTAGGAAACCTTGACAGCAACTGTGCGCATCGCTATGGCGAGAGCCACCTTCTGAAAAATAATGGCTCTCCATCCGTGTAGCTGCTGTGTGATTGTAAGACGAGTGCGCGCAGCGCTACGGCGAGAGCCACACTATGACAACGACGTGTTCGGCATCTGCGTTCAACTCGTACTTCGAATATACGCGGGGCTGAAGCGAAAGCCACAATGTAAAAGCGACCCGTGCTGCATCCGTGAAACTGCTGGGAGCTTGTAAAGCGAATGTGCGCGGCGCTAAGGCGAGAGCCATGTTTTGACCCCCCACACCCGCGCAACTGTTGGACATGCCGATGCTTCGGGGTCACAAACACACAAATTCGCCAGCCCAACGGGTCTGAGGCGTGCTAAAATCTCCTATTACAGGTGACTTGTACATCCACTTTACATACGCGTGGCAGCCCCTGGGGGTCCCCCGACGATTAGTACCCTGGGCAGACCCAGGACAACTCCCGAGTCCAAGGGAGCTCCAGGAGTCGGGATCAATCGATGGCAGGCCTCAAGATGGCCCGAAAACAATCCCAGGCCTCAAGATGGCCCCAAGGTGGTCCTGGACAGGCCCGAGAGGGCCCCCAGAGACTCAAAGTCTGTGGTGTTCCTTCGATTTGGGAAGGATTTGTGCGTCACTGTCTTTTCGGGCGTCCAACCGCCCAAGACGGCCCAAGAAGCCCCCAAGATCGCCCCAACAGACCAAGAGGCTCCCAGGACGGCCCCAAGACTGCCCAAGAGAGCCCCAGGGGCTTCTCAAGAGGGCCCCAGAGGCTCCCGAGAAGGCCCCAGGAGGGGAATCCGACCTGACATGCCAAACCCTTCCCCGGAAGGTGGCCCCCCAGACCGCCAGCAGGCCCCAAAGAGGCCCCCAAGAGGCCCCCGAGAGGCCCACGGAGGCGCAAAAGACCCCTCCCCCACGAGGCCCCAAGAGGCCCCCAAGAGGCCCCAGGAGATCCCAAAAATACAACCAAGAGGCAGCCGAGAGGCCTCCAAAGGGACCCTAAGAAGACTCCCAAAGAGGCGCCTTGTCCACCCGGCTTGGCCCCAAGATTACCCAAAAAAGCAATGGAGAGGCCGCATCCTCATCCTCCCCTCTTCGTTCCTCCTCCTCCTCCTCCTCCTCCTCCTCCTCCTCCTCCTCCTCCTCATGCTCCTCCTCTTCTTGTTAGTACTAGTATTATTGATATGATTGGTATGATTAATATTATCAGTATTATTATCATCAGTATTACTATTGTTTTTCCTCCTACTCCTCCTCCTCCTCCTCCTCCTCCTCCTCCTCCTCCTCCTCCTCAGCATCATCATCATCATCATCATCATCATCATCATCATCAGCAGCAGCAGCATCAACATCATCATCATCATCATCATCATCATCATCATCATCATCATCATCATCATCATCATCATCATCATCATCATCATCATCAGCATCATCATCATCATCATCATCATCATCATCATCATCATCATCATCATCATCATCATCATCATCATCATCATCATCATCATCATCATCATTATCATGTTCCTCCTCCTGTATCCTCTTCCTGCTACATAACCCCTCCCTGTCGCACCCCGAGACGAGTCGGTAGGGCACGGTAGGGCAGGCTGGGCGTTTCGCCTGAGAATTCCTCACCATTCATGATTCTGAAGCTGAAAATGTACAACAGCTTCATGGATGGAGGGCGGGTGATTTTCAAACTGTGGCTCTCGCCGTGGCGCCGCGCACATTCTTTGTAAAAGTTCGCAAGAGCTTCACTGATGGAGGGCGGGTCGTTTTCAGTATGTTGCTCGCGCCTTAGCGCCGCGCACCTTCGTCTTAAAAACTGCAACAGCTTCACAGTTGATGGGTGAGTGGTTTTCATGATGTGGCTCTCGCTTTAGCAACGCGCACATTCGTTACTGAAGTTTGCAAAAGCTTCACAGATGGAGGGCGGTTCCTTTTCGCAAAGACTTACAACAGTTTCAAACATTCTTATGGTTGACGTCGCAGGAACGGCCTTCCAGCACGACTTCGAACTGTCAGGGCGCAACAGTCACGTTCATTCGCGTCGTTGAAGTCCCAAGATCGGCGTTCTGGCACGATACAGGATCGCCAGGACGCAACAATAAAGTTGATTCGCGGCATTGATGTCCCAGGAATGGTGCTGCGGCAAAATTATAGAGTCTCAGGCGGTTGTCCCTCCTCATCCTCATCCTCATCCTCAATCATCATCATCATCATCATCCTCATCCTCATCCTCAATCATTATCATCATCATCATCATCATCATCATCATCATCATCATCATCATCATCATCATCATCATCATCATCATCATCATCATCATCATCATCATCATCATCATCATCGCTCGCCACGAGCACACCCGCATATAGCAACCATGATACAGCATGGGCTGACGGAGTGAGCGAAGCGATTAAATCCGCCAATCTGGCGTGTGAGTTTCAAAGAGCAGCTCAGGTCTGCTGGGGGCGGGGCCAGGGAGGCTCTGCCGGGGAAGGGAGGGAGGGGGGTGGGGCGTGTACTGAAGCCCACCCTTTCTGGGGGGACCCTTTTTGTGATTGTTTTGCCCATCCCGGATATTCTCACGGGACCCCGCCCGGCCCCACCCCCCTCCCCCGGGCACCCCAGCAGGGGGCACGAGCGCCCCGGATCGGCGGCACTGGCCGGAGGCCACTCAAAATGAGGCTCCGGCAGGAACGCCGGGCCCGCCCGACCGACACGTCTGGTTGTCATCCGAGAAGCCACCTATGAGGAAAGAGGGACAGAGGACCCAAGGAGAGGTTGCTGCTGTGGAGCGACCCAGGAAGTCAAGGAGAAATTCAGCAAAGCTCGCCCTCCGAACCGGAGGACCCCGCACCTGGAGACAAGGATAGGAGAGAATATGGAGGAGGAGGAGGAGGAGGACGACGAGAAAAGGAAGAACAAGAAGAAGCCGATACGGCTATTCCCTGGACCTCTCCTGGGGCGCGCTCGACCGAAATTTCGGAACGAATCCAGCCGCGGCCAGGACGAGCAGCGGTATTCGTACACGGACATCTGGCGTCTCAACTTTTTTCGTGACACGGCCCCCCGACCTCTCGACCATTTCCACGGGACTGGTTTTTCATCCTGAGTCGTTTTTGACGGTCCCGAGGCCAGACTAGAGGCCCCGAGAGGCCGAGTACGATAAAAAAACACCGTCCCGGTTTTTTCGAGACGCTGGATGTCTGGGCGCGTGTCCTTTCCACCTTCGAGAAATAAAACGAGGACGACGACGACGACGACGACGACGACGACGACGACGACGACAACGACGACGACGACGACGACGACGACGATGAACGCTACAGCCCAGTGGCCATAGTCCGCATAACGAAAAGGAAACAAAAAAAAGAGGAGGAGATAGCTCTTCTGGCCCAGGCTCGGGCGCGAAGCTGGCCGAAGAGCGCGCGCGGAAGCGGGCGCTCTTCGGCGAGGCTACCCCGCGCGGCGGCCCCTGTACCTGCAGGCTGCCGCGGCCCTCGCTCTCGACGCGCGGGGGGCGCCATGCGGCGATGCAGGGTGCTGAAAAAGGCAACATACGTACACAGAACCTGCTGGAGGTCCGTGCGGACTTCACATGGGCGACGCAGAAAGACGGGTCGTCTTCACGAACATCGGTGCGGAAGCTGCCCTCGTAAGGTCGCGCGGTATCGTTTTCGTTTGCAGTGTGGCGTGCCGCGCTGGCAACCCGCTTACGCCACCGCGTGAGCTTGCTATGCCATATCGCGTGAGATCCGTTTCTGTTCGTCGCTCACGTGCCGCCGTGAGGGTATGCATTATCCAGCCGTCTTGGGACATGCCCCCCCCAACGGCGGGCAATTACCAGATATCTGGACACCCGGCATAGGTAAACAAGAAACTCCTGCAGGTGCATGATGATTGGTTGGATCGGTGGTGAACCCCCTCCCTGGCGCGTAAAGCGCGCCAAAGCCGGCGCCAGAGGTACAGCCAGGGGGGCCCAACGGCGATCCAAGAGATCCGCGCGGATCTCGAAAAAAACTATATTTACGCGGTTGCTGCTTCGACAAACGCTGACATCTGGCGTTTCGAATTTTCCGAATCGCTGCACCCCAACCTCTCGACCACTTCCCCAGGACAAGACTCTCATCCCGAGCCGTTTTTGACGGCCCCGAGGCCCGGCACACGGGCCCCGAGCGGTCGAATACGATGAAAGACCGCCGTCTCGATTTTCCGAAACGCCGAATGTCTGGAGGGCACCGTGGGCGGCGGCTTCGGCTGAAGCGCGTCCGCCAGGGGCCGAAGAGGGCGCGGCCGCGGCGGGCTCGGCACCGTCGACGGGGGGCATAGGAGCCCCCTGCGAATGGCGCAGCGCACGACCAAGGCATGCGAACGTTTTCCTTTTCGGCGTTTCGACATTGGGCGGAAGGGCGGGGGACGGGGGGGTCTGGCTCCGGACCACTGCTTAATGCGATTGTTTGCAACTGGTCCCCACAGGGGGGAGACCGCACCTGCTGTCAAAGAAGAGGCGCCAAAAACAGCAAACATCCACTCCAAAGGGGGGAGGGGGGGCCAAGGCCCGCGCCGATCGGCAAAACAATTAATACGGAACAACAATCATCCGGCTGCCTAGTATCTTGACCGCGCGCGCGGAAGGGGCAGCGCGAGGGGGACGGCCTTCCAGAGGGCGGAGGAGCTTCCAAAGTGGCAGGGGCCTTCTCGGGGACCCTCCCGGCTTCTGGGAAGCCTTCTCAAAAGAGCCTTCTGGCCATTCTGAGAAGGCCCCGGCCCTGTAAATACCGCGTCGCTTTCTTGCAAGGCCATCCCCCTAGCGCCACCCCCTTGTTGCACCTTGTCAATATGTATTGAATGTACAAAGCAAACTGAGCCGGCTAGACATTCGTCCCGCTGGGGGGCGCTGGGTCCCGGGCGCGCTCGGAAGGCCCGAAACGGCTCCTGATGGCTTCCAGAGGGCCCCAAGCTGGGCCACGAGAGCTACAAGACGCCCACGATGGCCCCAAGACGGTCCCCGAGGCCCCCTTGTCGCCCCAAGACACCCCGAGAGGCCTCCCGAGGGAGCCCCAAGAGGCCAAAATCGCCAAATTCCCTCCGTAAACCGTACACCTTCATCATCAACAACTTCTCGCCTCCCCAGCGCGCCAAGACGGCCCAAAACGCCCCCCATATCGCCCCAAGATGGCCCAATAGGCACCACGGAGGCCCCCACGACGGCCCAGGAGGGCCCGAAGACGGCCCGAGAGGGGCCCAAGACTGCCCAACCAAGAGGCGCCCAAGACGGCCCAAGGGGGCCCAAAAACGGCCCCCGAGAGGCATCCAGGACCCCCACGCCCCAGCTCCCCATAAGGCCCAAAAAAAGCCCCACTTACAGACAGTGAGGTAATGTTGGTACGAATGGGACGACGCACGTCTCCACGCACGTCTCCACCCACGTCTGCGCCTGCGCGGTCATGCGATCCAGCGGGCGGGTCGGCGAGCGGCGGGCGGCGGCGGCGGCGGCGGGCGGCGGCGGGGCGCAAGAGCGCTGAGTAAATCTCTAGAAGCCCTCCCACAGAGCTGAATGAATTGCAAAAAGCCCTCCCACCCAAGAGCTGGATGAATTTCTAGAAGCCCCCCCCCCACCGTAGAGCTGAGCATGCCCGTGCCATGGAGCAGACCCTGGCCCTTCACCGTTTGCAATGTCCGGGGGGGGGGCCCTCCGCTTGCTCTCCTGGGGCCGAGGCTGCGCGCCTTGCCCGAAAGCTGCCGACGAAGCTCTTCCTCTGGGCCTCATCGGCCCGTCTTTGAAATCGTACCGAGTTTACCTAACCGTCTGCAAGAGGGGCCAAAATTGCTTCCCAACACGCACCCTGCAAGCCTCTTGGGACCCCTGGATTAGTGCGGCGACGGTCAGAAAATCAATCAGACAGATGTAGATGCAGATAGGGAACGCTTCGCCAGGAACGAGCGGGGGTTTCTGGCCTCGGCCAGCCTCGGCCACGAGCGTGCTCCCGACCAGGACCCCTCGGGGCACGAAAAAAGCACGACGGAACGTGTCTCGCTGTTTTCTGCGCCGCCGACGAGACCGTCAAAAACGGCTCGGAATGGAAAACGGGCCCCAGGGAATGGGTTGAGACCTCTACGGGTCGACGGGGTGAAAACATCGTGACGCCGGGGTCTGGGAACCCGGAGCTGCGGAACGGCCCGAAAACCAGAGCCTGAGCCCGAAGTGGCACTGATCTCAGAGGCTCGGCAGCCATCGGCTTTGCTACTCGCGGTTGCGCCGTGCCTTCCGGTGCAACCCACAGAAACCCTTTCCACCCGCCTTCACCCGCCCGCCCTCCGTCACCCGTCCGCCCGTGCCTCCCCGCACACAGGCACGCCCGGCCTGCTCCTCCGCCAGGTCGTAGTACCAGCAGGTGAACGCGCAGCGGTAGCCGTGGGGGAAGGTGGCGCAGCTGCTCGGCCGCCGCTCTGTTGTCGCCGCCGCATCCGCCTTCCTCCCTCCTGCTTCCATCCCCCTCGCCTTCCAGTCCCCGTCCTACGGTCGGGAACTGTTGCTTCGCGTGCCGCGGCCACAGCCCACGCGAGACGCCATGCCCTGTAAGCGGATAGCGCGTCGCTCCGCTCCGCGTGACGGCAGGCGGCAAGGGCTCGGGGCGATGCTGCTTGGGGACTGCAACGTGCTTGGCATGTCCCGCCGAAGCGTGGTGGGCCAGAACTGGAGGAGCGACACGCTAGGCACAAGTTCCTGACAGTTTCCCCATCCCCCGTCTCCCCATCCCTCCCTCCCTCCACTCCGGGAGTGTTGAGGATCTGCGGAGAGGCGCCTCTACCCAGCTGCAGCAGAAAACGCCGTACGTGCAAAGCGAAGACAAACATCTGGCTGCTCCAATCCCACCAGCCCTCTGGGCGTCGGTGGTTTAGAGCGTTTTCTCTTCCACCCCTCCTTCTTCCCCTTCGGGGAGGGGTTTACCCCTCACCCTACCCCCTCCCCGTGGACCTGGAGGGGGGGGCCGCGAGCGGTCAGAGCGTCCAAAACGGCCTCGGCGAGGAAGCCAAAATCATTAATTTGACTAGGGTTTCGGCCACATTTGGGCCTCCTGGGGGGGCAAGGCTAATTAATGTTCCGCACTTCTTTGATAGATCTCCTCCAAGATGGCCCCAAGAAGCGCCCAGGAGGCCCCAAGAGGTCCCAAGATGGCCCCAAGATGGCCCCAAGAGGCCCCCAAGAGGCCCCCAGGAGGCCCCCAAGAGTTCCCCAAGAGGCTCCAAGAGACTACCCAGAGGCACCCAAAATGCTCCAAGAGGCCTCGGCGAGAATGCCAAAACGGCCTCGGCGAGGAAGCCAAAATCACTGGTTTTACTAAGGTTCTGGCCCCATTTTGGCCTCCTGGGGGGGGACACTAATTAATGCTCCCCTCTGTTGTTTGATCGATCTCCTTCAAGATGGCCCCAGGAAGCGCCAAGGAGGTCCCAAGAGGTCCCAAGATGGCCCCAAGATGGCCCCAAGAGGCCCCCAAGAGGCCCCCAGGAGGCCCCCAAGAGACCCCCAAGAGGCCCCAAGAGACTACCCAGAGGCACCCAAGATGCTCCAAGAGGCCTCGGCGAGAACGCCAAAACGGCCTCGGCGAGGAAGCCAAAATCATTGGTTTTGCTAGGGTTTGGGCCCCATTTTGGCCTCCTGGGGGGGGACGTTAATTAATACTCCCCTCTTGTTTGATCGATCTCCTCCAAGATGGCCCCAAGAAGCGCCCAGGAGGCCCCAAGAGGTCCCAAGATGGCCCCAAGATGGCCCCAAGAGGCCCCCAAGAGGCCCCCAGGAGGCCCCCAAGAGACACCCAAGAGGCCCCAAGAGACCCCCCAGAGGCACACAAGATGCTCGAAGAGGCCTCGGCGAGAATGACAAATCATTGATTCCACGAAGGTTTTAACCACATGTTGGCCTCTTTGGGGGAGCACTGATTAAAATTATCCCGGCAAAGCAACCTAACAGCGATGTGTAGAAGCATATCTGAAAGCATTCCCCTTAAGATTCAGATGAAAATCCAGTTGCCGAATTCTGCTGTTCTCGCAGTCGTAGTCGCATTCGCGATGACAGTCGCAGCGGCAACGGCAGTCGCAGTCACAGCCTCAGCCTCAGCCTGCCTCCTCCTCCTCCTCCTCTTTCTCCTGCTCCTCCTCCTCCTCCTCCTCCTCCTCCTCCTCCTCTTCCTCCTGCTCGTCCTCGCTCTCGTCCTCCTCGTCTTGCTCGTCCTCCTCCTCCTGGTGCTCTCTCCTCCTCCTCCTCCTCCTCCTCCTCCTCCTCCTCCTCCTCCTCCTCCTCCTCCTCCTCCCCTCCTCCTCCTGGTCGTTCTCCTCCCTCGCTCTCCCCCCCCCTCCTTCCTCGTCCTCCTCCTCCTCTCTCCTCCTCGTCCTCCTCCTCCTCCTCCTCCTCCTCTCTCCTCCTCCTCCTCCTCCTCCCCTCCCCTCCTCCTCCTCCTCCTCTCCTCCTCCTCCTCCTCCTCTTCCTGGTCGTCCTCGTTCTCGCCTCCTCGTCTTGCTCGTCCTCCTCCTCCTCTTCTCCTCCTCCTCCTCCTCCTCCTCTCCTCCTCCTCCTCCTCCTCCTCCTCCTCCTCCTGGTGGTCCTCGTTCTCCTCCTCCTGGTGCTCTCCCCCTCCTCCCTCCTCCCTCCTCCTCCTCCTCCTCGTCCTCCTCCTCCTCCTCCTCCTCCTCCTCCTCCTCCTCCTCCTCCTCCTCCTCCTCCTCCTCCTGGTAGTCCTCCCCCTCCCCTCCTCCTCCTCCTCCTCCTCTTCCTGGTCGTCCTCCTCCTCCTGGTCGTCCTCCTCCTCCTGCTCGTCCTCCTCCTCCTCCTGCTCGTCCTTCTTCTCCTGCTCCTCCTCCTCGTCCTGCTCCTGCTCGTCCTCGTCCTCCTGGTCTTGCTCGTCCTCCTCCTCGTCGTGCTCTTGCCCCTGCTGAAAATGTGGCCCAGGAATGGGAGTTCTGGGAAGTCGAAGAGCACGAAGTTGCCTACAGTTGGCTACGGGCATTCAAAATGTGGCCCGGGAATGGAGTTCTGGGAACTCGAAGAGCACGAAGTGGCCTACAGTTGGCTCCGGGCATTCAAAATGTGGCCCGGGAATGGAGTTCTGGGAACTCGAAGAGCACGAAGTGGCCTACAGTTGGCTCCGGGCATTCAAAATGTGGCCCGGGAATGGAGTTCTGGGAACTCGAAGAGCACGAAGTGTGTGACGTTGCATCCGGCCCTCCAAATGTGGCCCGGGAATGGCGTTCTGGGAACTCGAAGAGCACGAAGTGTGTGACTGTTGCATCCGGTTATTCTAAATGTGGCCCGGGAATGGCGTTCTGGGATCTCGAAGAGCACGAAGTGTGTGACTGTTGCATCCGGGTATTGAGAATGTGGCCTGGGAATGGAGTTCTGAGAACTCGAAGAGCACGAAGTGTGTGACTGTTGGTGAAAAACGAGCCCGGCACCTGCCGCCCGGCAACTCCCAACACCTGCCCAGACCCCCCTGTGGAGTGATCTGCTGCTCTCTTTTGATCCCACTAGAAACCTATCAGTCTTCGCTGTTAGGTAATGATTCCAAGAGCGCCTGGGAGAGCCCAAGATGACCTCCAAGATGGCTCAAGATATCCCAAGATGTCTCATAATGGCTTCCTCTGTGTGCTGCCCACTTCCTTGATCCAGACAATTCTTCTTGGCATCGTTTCTGGATGGGCTGGTGGGGATTTTTTTTGGTCGCGGCCGCGCAGCAGAGGGCAGGCGGCGAAAGGGAGTCCGGGGCAACGGGCAAGCCCAATTAGCTACTAGGCGCAGCGCAAGCCGGCGCTGGTGGGGATTATTTTTCGGTCGCGGCCGCGAGACAAGGGTCAGGCGGCGAAAGCAAAGTCCGGGGCACTGCTGGGGATTCTTTTTTGGGTCTGCGGCCGCGCGACAACGGTCTGGCGGCGAGGGGCAATGTCCGGGGCGGGCGGCACGGTGCGAGTTGGCGACCCCAACCGCCACGTTGGCAGGCCGGTTCGCACCTACACAACAAGCGCGCAGTTGCACATGCACTGAACAAAATGCTCTGCATTCACCAGCAGACGAACCTAGGCGCCGCACAGTAAACCAAAGTGAGCGAGCGGCCGCGGGTGCGAGTGCAACGGAGTGAGTCGCCAGTGCGGCGCCAAACTCCAAGCAGCCAGCCCGGCTAGCTAAGAGACGCGAACCCGGGAAATCGGGCTGCCGGCGGTGGAAAACAAGAGGCAAAGCGAGCGCGGAAGGCTGAACCACTCAGCGCGCAGCCCTCAGACTCCACCGCTCAGTGGGGGGGGGCCAGCGGCACCAATCGCATCGAGTCTGGCGCCTGCGTCGAATAAGCCCGGGGTGAACGCGACGACGCGCGAGACGCAGGCTGTACAAGGCTGCAACACTCAGAGCAAGGCCTACGGGCACCCAACTCGCAGTGCCGGTGGACGCCAGCGACTGCCCAAGCACCACAGTGCCGTCCTGCCGCGGAGCGGTCCACCGATGCCAGCCGCGGACAACGATAAACCTGGTGCGAAGCGTCAACAATTTCTTCGTTGCGTGGCCCAGGAGGTCTGGACCACTTCCCCAGGGCAGGCTTTTCGTCCCGAGTCGATGTTTGACGGTCCCGAGGCCCGGCGAGGGCCCCCGGAGACCGAAAACGGCTGAAAGCTGTCCGCCCCAGTCACTTCAGAGCGTCGGCTCTTTAGGACTGCAGCCAGACCCCCAAACGTGCGAGGTGCTGATGAGGCCTGGGCGACCCGTGGACCCTGGTGGGCCTGGACTCGAGGCGGGAGAGAGACGTGCAGGGAAGGGCCACGCCTGGCTGCCAGGCCGGCGGGGCGAGCCTGGCGAGCCCGGCCACCTCCTCCTCCTCTTCGGCCTCCTCCTCCCCCCCGAAGACCCCACGCTCCCCAAAAATGGGAGCGGGCGGCTTTTGGCTGTTTTCAGCCTCTGGGGGCCCTCGCTGGGCCTCGGGGCCATCAGAAAACAACTCAGGACGAAAAACCCGCCCTAGGGAAGTGGTCCAGACCTCCAAGGCCCACGCATCGAAAAAATTGGAGAAGCCGGATGTCTGGAACCTGCTCATCCTCATCAGTGTCCGCCTCCCCCTGCCCTTTCCTGTCCTCCTCGCCCCTTTCCCGTCTTACATGCTCCCACTCTCCAACCTGGCGCTCTGTCTAGCGGCCACAGGCGTTACATCGTCCACTGTATGAACTCCAGCATGGACGTATTGTCGTCTGGTACTGGTACTGGTGCGTCATACGCAGTGCTCTGCCTGGACTGAGCGAGGCACATGCAGGGCGAACTGCTCCTGATACTACACGGAACTGCGTACAACTTGCTCGTACAATTTCAACGCCGCGCCGCGTGCGATACGTGCACCGTCCACGGCAAACTCCTTGTGGGGCACGGCAGCCCTCCTCGTCGACGCGGGTTCAGGGGACTGGA